CTTACTGCACTTCACTGCTAACATGCCCTAGTGCCTGGTCCCTAGAGTCAAGCCTGCCCGTCTACGTGTAAATGGATAACATTTGTGTTTGTTGGAATGAATAAAAAAATGATTCATTGGTTATGCAGTCACATTAAAGTATCTGTGGCAATTTTGAACTTAAGAGGCTGGAAAGGAAGTATAGGGCCAAAATTTGGTATGACATATAGATAACTTGTGAATTTTTGTTTGTAATAAGTCCTAGGCATCAACAACACTATGCATCTGCTCAATAAAGTTTAGCCTAACAGCCTCCTTACATATTTTCTGTTCAGCCTAAAAGTTTCTCTGTACATAGTGAACTATAATCTAAAGGGAGGTGTAAACAGATTGTAATCTACTCTTGTGCCAATTGCCGAGTTTTGGGCGTCAAAGGGCGCCAGCTGTTCAAACCACATTCAAATAAAGCAAACACTGAGCTGTAACCAATCCAACTGTTTCTGTACCTCATTTCTCTTTTTGGTATATCACTTTCTCTGTCCATAAATCTGCTACCATGTGGCTGTGCGGGAGTCTCTCTCAGCCTTCTCTGATTTGGGAGGCTGCCCAACTGGTGAATCGTTCCGCACTCAGTTAAATTCTGTTGAATTTAATTTGGCTAAGATTTTTCTTTTAACACATTATAGAGGTGAAGATAAACAATGATAAGAAGATATCAAAATCCTCCTGGGGAGCACTGGAAGCCTCTTGCTATGATTCTATGACATAGTTCAAACACCATATTTTGTTGACAACTTCCTGAGTGGTATTGGAAGCACAGATATACTGCATTTCTGGCCAAACAACCATGACATACACTGTAGATTTGGAATGAATGCTATTAAGATAACCTGTCCCTCTCTCTAGATGGGCAGCCAGCCACGTGTGTCCTCTCTTCCCCTTTATCACCAAGAATGACTGGCGCTGGAGCAGCAATGTTGATGGGCATTGATCTGTTTCAGAAATGAATTAACTCAGCATTTCAAGGACTGAGAAATGACTTCAGGCGTTCCCTTTTCAAAAGATGTTATCTCATTTTCTTACTAAAGAGATGAGAGAAAAGGTGGAAATTGAGAGAAACAAAGTAAAAACTCAAATGTGAATTAATTCTGAAGGAGATTTTTTTTTCACCTCCTATGAGGTATTTACTAGCTGATAATCCTGCAGTGAAAGAATATCCAGCCAGTGAGAGTTAGGAAAAAAATATGGATTGTTGCTTTGGAAGGAGACTAAAAAATTATCCTTGCCATAATGTTTTTCATTTTACACCCCCCTAAAATAACTAAGAAAAATATTACTTTTATAAAATAGTGCAGTGAACACAGCCCTGGAATTCTGGTATTATAACAACTTTCAGATGGAGGCATAAAGTGATATTCCAAAATGTTAAAAATCATCAATATGAGTAAAAATCTGACTTTGCATGTGGGACTACAGTGTTGTTACTTCCTGTTGGTGGTGTGTTTCCAATTTTAGGGACGGGGGGAAAGGCAAGCTGCATACATACACGCATTCTCCCAATATCGGCCCCATTTGTTTAGATGGATCTAATGATTTTACTTCCAAACTTAATGCCCCTGAGATTCCTTAATAATCTCAAATTCTATCAGAAATACCCCCACCGTCAAAACTATGTCTTATGGATTCATTTATTTTGATTTGTAGAGTGACAGGGTCCATAAAGTTAACATGTGTCACAGTGTTCCATAACACCTTCATTAGTCCAATTACAGAGAATAGTTTGAGTGGGCACCGTGTGGGCGGTCATGGCCCTGTATATCTTCTCACTCACATTGCTGGGACCAGAGTGTGGGTGACAGGACAAAAGGATTCTGCCCAAACGTGTTAGCAGGCCCCTTCAGGTGGGCTGTGGGAGGAGAGAAAAAGGATGGTTAAATAGATTATTAAGAGGATGCTTCAACATTAAAAATGTGGGGCAATTATGTGAACACTACATGGTACTAAAAGTAAAATATATAATAGAAATGTTCTGAGGCAGAAAAACACATTCAAATGCAAATGAAGAGAACCAAAATGAGAAAATAATGAGCAAAATAGCAAAAGTTAAAACTTGGGTATGTTTGTGTGACAATAAATCTCTTCTCCATTTGAAAAACAACTAAATGTCTCTATTTTTTTTTTTTAATAAAGTCGTATACACATCCAAGCATAATAATTTACTATTCACTACAGTGCGTTCAGCATAGTGTGTTATATCCAGTATATATGTAAATGCCTCAAGAACATGATCATAATGCTGATTAAACTCCTCAATAAAATACTCTCTCAATGCAAACTTCGCTTTTCTATCGTTTGGATTTTGTTTAGGAAGAAAATTTCAACAAGTCTGCTACACAGACAAACTTCGAAGGCAAAGACTTTTTTGAAATAGAAAGTTACAGAGTTTCTATTTTAAAAGTTCCTTGTGTGTATACATCTTTGGGTGCTGCTGTTCCTTCATTATCAGAGACAGCAGTGCCTCAAGTCTAATGTCAGAGGCACCTCTCTGCACCCAAGGCACTTTGTCAAAGTCAGGAGGGCTTAATAAGGCTCGATTTTCACTGAATGCATTTGTTAGATTCTTGAATGTTAAATTGCAAGCTGAATCATTGTGCAATTGCTTCCTTTTCTGTCTTTTTTTTTTTTTTTTTTTTTTGGCCAGTCAGAAATGGCTCTGCAGAGACAAGCTCTGAGTTATCCGTTAGTGGATTAATGAAACACAATTTGTACTAAAACTCATCTCTTTTTTCCTTTCAAAATGAAGCTTATCTTCCTCAATGTGTTTTTTCCATGAGGTGCATGAAATTATCAAAATGTTACCAAGAAGATAAATTTGGTGTGTGACCCGTCAGCATCGTCGATACGTGGCAGTGTAATGGCAGAGCTGCAGCACAAAGCCACAGCGTGACACCAGGGCTGGAGCAGCCAGGGGATTTCTTGCTCTACACCAATTTGTTCACATACACAGAATACATATATTTACTGTTTCCCACAGATACGTCAGCAGCCCCTTTCCCAGGGACAGTTGAAAAGCTCTGGCTCTGTTTTGCTGTGTCTGCTCTGTAAACCTTCTACCCTTCTTTAATTTGCTGACTATCCATTTCGATGTTGGCTGACTGATTTCTCAATGAATCTCCTCTTCAAACTGGGCTTTCATAAATTGAATATACTCTCTGTGGTGTGTGGTATATTGTCCACAGACGTCCATAAGTGATGGAGAAGGTAGCATATTGAATATCCTCTCTGGTTGGTTGTATTGTCCACAGGCATCCACAAGTGAGGGAGAAGGCAGCATATTGAATATACTCTCTGTGATGGGTAGTGTTGTCCACAGGCATCCACAAGTGAGGGAGAAGGCAGCATATTGAATATACTCTCTGTGATGGGTAGTGTTGTCCACAGGCATCCACAAGTGAGGGAGAAGGCAGCATATTGAATATACTCTCTGGTTTGTAGTATTGTCCACAGATTTCCACAAGTGAGGGAGAAGGTAGCGTATTGAATATATTCTCTGTGGTGTGTAGTATATTGTCCACAGACTTCTACAAGTGAGTGTGAAGGCAGCATATTGAATATCCTGTCTGTGTTGGGTAGTGGTGCAAGTGAGGGAGAAGGCAGCAAATTAACATTAACTTCCTATAGAAATATTTTAGGAGAGAAGTTGTTAGGACTTTTGAAATAGTGTTTAGGTTTTAGTGCATGCCCTTTAACATATGTCTCCTCGCAAAAATACAATCTAAAATAAAATTAATAAAATATACAGGGATCTGTAGCTTCCATCAATGAACATGTAGTTTGTGATTAATACGTTGTTACTACAAATAAGAAAGGGTTGAGTAATTTTAATCGTCCCAGTTCACATACTGTGGTGAGTGAGGGATAGAAGTTGAAGATCCTTGAGCAAAGCAGTGTTCTTGTGTAGCCTCATCCTGGTACTTACAGAAACCAAGATTTCTTGATGAAGCTTCCTTCTAAGTGGGCGTGGGAGAAGCAGGGCAGCTTACAGCTCTTCCTGAGCTGCAGTGTTTGGTTGGGGACAGATTCTCAGCCTTCTGGAGTCCCTGTTGGATGCTGGCTTTTTGTTCTTAACACAGTCCCTGGTCACGCCCCCTGTGTTCCCCAGAATCCAGCTTTTAGTCTTGGTAATTTCACTCTTCCCAAAGACAGAATCAGCTGTGGCTCCCCAGAGCAAGCTGACTTGCTTCTCAGAAACCCCAGAAATAAACAGTCTTTGAGTCCCAAAATGGTGTACTTGGAGGTGCCTACAACATTCAAATTTCATTCAAATCCAGGGCTTAAAGGAGTCTAGGTTACCAAGAAGCAGATGACACACAGAAAAACTGCTCTGTGAGCTGGTTATGCAATATTTTTTCAGAAATGTGGAGCTTCTGGAACGAAGGAAGAGGATGACGGAATTAAGGCACACATGTGGTTAGCCCTGATTGCTAAGGGGAGGCATTCTCTGATATAAAAATGACTTCCTGTCAAGGGAAAAATCAGTGTCTTCCAGGGAGGGAAGAGGCGGGAAGTCCCAGTCTAGCAAAGACCACAGCTTATGCCTGTAGCTGTTTTTAGTTCTCTGAGCCTTTATTTCGCTCAGTTCTAACCCCAGTGTTAGCCACCTGCTAACCTCACGCTTAGACACCTGCTAACCCCACTCTTAGCCACCCGCTAACCCCACTCTTAGCCACCGGCTAACCCCACTCTTAGCCACCGGCTGCAGTCTTCCCAGGGGATGGGCTCCTCTTCCTGTGGGTTGGGTGGGTAATCATAGTGGGCTCCTGGTTCTACACTGCCCCTCATTACTGTATTCTCGCCACCATTTTTTTCCTCAGCCTGGAAGCTGACACTTGTAATTTGGCCTTAGGCCCCAGTTAGTAGTAGCTCACCTGGGCCCATGGAACATAACTAAGCCCAGGGATAGAATTGTACTTTCAGGTAATTGGTTTTCATCGTAATCCTATGTATTTTGTTTTATTTATTTTATACACTGATAAAAGTTGCTCTAAGAAAGATTCCATTGACTTCGTTAGACTAACAAAAGTGCTCATGGCCCAGAAAAGGTTAATTCTTCCTGGCAGTGGGCCTGCTGCCCCCCCTTCAGTGACTCTGGTGTCCTTCCACTCCGGATCAGGTTTCATTCATCAGTGCCTTCATTAGCACAGGCTTGTAGCCCGAATGATATCTGCCGTCCTCCACGACAGAGCTCAAATGCCACCAATACACTTATTCCCAGACTTTGTCCATATTTCATTTTTACCTGTTGTCATGTTCCTTTTTTTCAGCAACAGTGACAAGTCCTGGGCCCTTATGTCCTGGGTCCTATCTAATTCATCTCTGCATCCCAGACATTGTTTGGCAGAAATGAAATCTCCAATCAAAGTTTGATGCATGTTTGAATGAGGAATCATCTTGTGGCACAAGAGCCTGATTTTCCTTTCTTCCTATCAGGGCACCAGCGGCCCTGCAGCTGCCGGCGCCACCTCCAGCCAAACTGTGCTTCTGGGCACCCCTGAGAATTCCTGGTGGGCCCAAGTAAGGTAAGATAGAAGAGAAAAAATGGCATGGGAGAAAAAGAAGTAGAAAAGAGGAGATAGAGAAACAGGAAAGAGGGAAGAAAAGGAAGAGAGGAAGAAATTGTGGAGTGGAGGGCTGTCCTGTTCCCCACCTCAGGGACATAAGTAAGGTGCCTGTACAGGTTCACACGAAAATGGATTTGATTCCAGAGACCTTCCTCATTGTGTATATTTGCATTATCATGTTGTGTAGTTTTTAAGAACCCATTAAAAAAAGCAAAACCCTGTGGGCCTCTAATGATGTCTACAGATAAAAAGATGAGATCAATTCTACTGTATTTAAAAAGCCAGCAGGATGCCGTGGTTCACGCCTGTAATCCCAACACTTTGGGAGACCACATGTGCCCAGGAGTTCAAGGCTGCTTGGAGCCATTGATTTCACCACTGCACTCCACTGCGGATGACAGAGCGAGACCTTCTTGTCTCTTAAACAACAAAAAAGCCATCAACATTATCACTGTTAACAGTGTGCTGAGGTTCATACCATCCTCTCCTCCTCTCTGAGGTGTCTCTACATTCCAGTGGAGAGGGAATGTGAGATCTATTGTCAGCTAGGTCTGGGACGTGTCTGCCCTAGAGGCAGGATGGCTATTTTGGCATAATTTAGACATTGACAGAAAGCAGGTTTTGCCCCCTGAATATCTAGAGTTTTCTCTCCAGTCTGATATTATGCCAATTCTAGTATACTATGACAAGTTCTTGTCATCTTTTTTTTTGAGGGGGGGGATCTCAGAGTCACCTGCTAATACATGGAGGAACATATTAAGCCTTTATCAGCCCATCTCATCACTCCTAGTGCCTGGGTCTATGCCGGCGGGTCCTGTAGAAAAGGTACAGAAGAGGGTTTTAGTTTTTGTTTGTTTTGTGAGAGGCTCCGGACCAGGAGAGCCAGAGCGTGGGGGGTGCTGTCAAGGACAGCTCAGTGCCTTAGGGTGCGAAAGCCTACACCAGGTGATGCTGTGTGTCTCCTGAAGTCATAAGCAATAAGGTTTATGGGGAAACAAAGGCCATCACTCCAGTAAATATCATCTGCAGTTTCCCCTAATCTCCGAAGTTTGGGAAATGCTGAGACCCATGACTTCTCAAAGGATGCATGGTCTTTTTAAGTTAAAAAAGAGAAGTGGGTCGATGAATCAGAAGGGAAACATAAGACAGTCTTCTCCCTTCTTTTATGTGGCAGGCAGGGGTGGCAGGGAGTTACTTGTGTAACTCGAAAGGCTTCTGATTTTTTAAAAGGAAATGGTTGTCATTGTTAATCAGGGCAAGGTCTTCTTGCCCTTTCTCGTAGAATAGCTGGGGTTTGAATTTTGACTTCAGCCCAAAGTTTCTGGGTTACGATTGCACACAGCAGGCTTGTGAGTGCAGGTGTCAAAGGAGGGGATAGGATTTTCATAATTCCACTCTCTCAGCTCTCAACTTTGTGACTGTGCCGTTACCACCAGAAGTCCTCTCTATCTGCTCAGGTCTTCCTGCTCTGCAAATCTCAACAGACATTGATGAATCGTCCCTCAAGACTGCTCTGCATCGTACATTTATTTATCCGTGTTTCTCATGATGAATCGTCCCTCAAGACTGCTCCTCATCACGCATTTATTTTTCCGTGTTTCTCAGTCCCGGGTTGGCGTCTTCCTTCTCTCTCCCTCTGTCCCAGGATGTCTCAAGCTCAGCACTGTTGACATTTTTGGCTGCATAATTCTGGGTCACCAGGGGCTTTCCTGTGTCTTTTAGGGTATTTCAACAGCATCTCTGGCCTCTACACTAGGCACCAGCGGCATCCTCCCCAATTGTGACAATCAAAACTGTCTCCAGACACGGACATGTAACCTCTGTTGGGGAGGAGACGAGAACCATCCTCAGTGTGTCCTCTGTCGGGGAGGAGAGGACAACCATGCTCAGTGTGTCCTCTGTCGGGAAGGAGAGGACAACCATCCTCAGTGTGTCCTCTGTCGGGGAGGAGAGGACAACCATGCTCAGTGTGTCCTCTGTCGGGGAGGAGACGAGAACCATCCTCAGTGTGTCCTCTGTCGGGGAGGAGAGGACAACCATCCTCAGTGTGTCCTCTGTCGGGGAGGAGAGGACAACCATGCTCAGTTGAGAACCACAGTTCTATCCCTTTTATAACAACTAGTTTGGAAAAAAAATGTTTCTTGTGTTTGCTGATAAAGTACTTATTAGTCAATCATTTATTCCTTTAACTATTGTTGCATAGTTACTGTATATATGCCAGTCTGCAAATGCTAGTCTAGCTTTATGCTAGAAGCTACAAAATATTCCAGACTCCTTTTGCAATTTTGTTGGCCAAATCTCCTGACCTTGATTGATTAGCATAGCCATTAAAATAAGTGTCCTCATTGGTCAGGGCTGGGCTTACACAAAGCACATAAAGGGCCTGAAGCTCTGAAGGGCTGGGGAAAGCACACTCAAAATCCAGAGCCTGGTCCGTGAGGCTCAGGGTACCAAGAAACCGCAGTGAAGACTCAAAAACTACGGAATATCTACTGTGACGTCTGCCCTTGAATTGTTAGGTATTAGCAAAATAATACTGGTTTTGCTGGCACCTCAGATGCTGGTAGGCTGTGAGTCCATATGTGGAATGATTATGAATTTTTGTAATGAGCCAAGCCAGCTAAGGCTTGGTGGGTGGACTGTTAGGAAGCGTGGCTGGGTCCATTAGCCGGGTGTTTCAGTAGACCAAGCTCTGGGATGTGACACTAAAGTCAGCAGGCCCAGGAAGCACACCACACCTCTTGAAACTGCAGCCTGTGGCACAGAAATAAAATGGGAATAGATTAGTCTTTTGGGAGCTAATCTCCAAGTTGAAATGCAATAGAACGTACAGCGAGTGACAACTTTCTAAATTATTTTCTTATGCCTCATGCTGTTCTTTTGTCTCTAGTTTTACTGTTTCCGCCTACTAACTTCATTCTCTCTCCCACTATTTCTAATACATCTCCAGTGATGTATTTTCAATGAGAATTCAATTACCTAGAGAGGCAGATGTGCTAACTGGCAATCTGAGGATATTTTTCAAGTCGATGGCAAAGCTGACTCATGGTTCTAGTCCTGCTACTGTCAGGAGAAACTCACTGTCAACAAGCTGTTACAAATGAAACTTCACAATGAGGGAGAGTGTAAGGAACACCAAGTACTCTCCTTGTTCTTACCGATTGCCTCATTTAATTGGCACTGTTTTATTGAATTTTTAATAAAATGAAATGAGATTTTAATGTAATCTCATCGAGTTTAGACCTAATTCAATATATTAATTTATTATGAATCTTTATTAATTTGTTTTCTATGAAGTTATGCAATGAAAAGTTTCCCAAATTGCCAGTTATTTGTAAACTTTAAAAAACTTCTCCAAAGTAGTTTTGTTATTTGTAACAATGTTAAAAGCAACACGAAACCATGCAAGAGCGTTTTGTTGACTGTCCCTGCAGTTAAGGTACTGTGTGCTGTTAAGAGAATGTATGTTTATATTTGCTAAATTTTCATGAACTTGGTGATTGAGCCATGATTATATTAACCTTTTAGATCGATAGAACTATGGCAATAACTATATAGTCCTGTGATAGGCCTAGCCGTTGAAAAGGTGAGTGGCTGATTTCATTTAATTGTGTGATCTGAAGTAGGTCTCATTATAAACCACACACTTCATTTGAGTCATACATTGTAACTTTTAGTGAAAGCTGTACGGGATTTCCTGAAGAAATGCTGAGAGTGCTTTTGTCTAGTAACTGTATTCTGATTATTGTATTTCACGGTACTCAGGGAATTAGCAGCTTCTCAGATAGAGCACATAATGAGCTACCACTATTTTAACAAGGAGACACTGAAACCAGAAAGACATTTCCACTTGCCCAGAGGAAAAGTACATAAAAATCACCTCAGGACATTCAGTGGAACCCAGGAATAGCTTTAGGTAAAATGCACAACGATTCATGTGGCTATAATTTTCTGAAAATTTTGTTTTAAATACCTCTTACATTTCATAATATATGTTCATTTTTTAAATATTAGACTGTAAACACAGAGAAATACAATGTTAACTTGTAATTTTATACCCAGAGGAAATCACTGTTGATATTTTGTTGTATAATCTTAGAGACAATTTCTGTTTTGTACAATATTGTGAAAAAAGCTGTTCATAATATTTTAAAGTAAATTTTCTAGTCAATAATGTAACTAACAAGCACATTATCAGCAGCAGCAGCACTGATTAACAGCGCACAGCGTCTTCTGGTACGGGCCTACTGAAATGTATTTGACCAATCCGTTATGTAATTTATTTTTAATATTTTTGCCACCATAAATGACGCCGTGCTGAGAACTTGCACTTCAAGTTTTCTGCACGTCCTCACTGTGGTCTTACGATACATTTCCAGAGCGAAAGGGAGTTTATACAGCTAAAAAATGACGCCTAGAGAACCTCAGGATCTCCCAGACAGCCTATTCAATTCTTTCTGTGGTTCAACAGATGGAATAATGTTTCAACAGGCATTTCACAGAAGAGATGAACACAACGGAAAAAAGAAAGACAGTAAAGTACGCCCCTTCTCCGCAGAAGCCTCTCGCTGGAGCAGACACGTCCCTGGCGGCAGGTGTTACTTATGGGGGATCCGGTCGGTGTCAGCGGCTGTCCTGGACCCTGGCCACACTAGGCCGTCCTCATCATTCCTGCCCCGGGAAGAGAAAGAACACTGCTGAGTTGCTGTTGGGCACATGGCCCTGGCCTCGTGGCCTCCATATGCCGGTTATTTACAGGGTTTACCCTGTTGGGCTGGTTTCCTGTGGTGGCACAACAAATGACTACAAATTTAGCAGTTTTAAAAAAACAGCAGTTTCTCCTCTCCAGGGGCTGGGGGCTGGAAGTGTGGAATCAGGTCCAGCAGCGCGGTGCTCACTCTCCAGCCTCCAGGGGAGGCCCTTCCTGGCCTCTTCCAGCCTCTGGTGGCTCCGAGCTCTGTTTGGTTGTTTTTTACAGTTTCTATTTCTCTGCGGATACAGTCAATCTTTCCACTCATGTGAAGTGCACTTACCTGCGTCTCACTGAGCACAAATATGCGAGCGTCGCTTCAAAGTGTTTTGCGGGTAATTTTGACACTGGCTCATCTCAGGCTTGGGATCTTCTCTCTTGAGAACTGGTCACATTTTCCTGGTGATTCGTATGTCAATTAATTTTGAATTGTGTCATGGGCATTTTCAACATGATTTCGTGTGAGCTCTGGGTCTTTGTTTTAAAGTGTAAGTTTTTTATTATCCAGGTATGGTGAGGCCACCAAAGGAAGTCACGATTGCCATCCAAAATATAATTTACTGTTCACAGCTTTCAAGAAGTGGGGTGACCCTTGATGTGCAGGGACGCCGTGGAAGCGAAGGTTTGGTCATGGACAGAAGGAGGAGAGGAGAAGGTGGCAGGCCCCTTCATCATGGGATCTGCAGGAAGGAATGGGCAAGGCAGCCTACGCTGGCTTAGGACTGGCTAGTCTGCTTTCAGCAGGCTCTGGGCTGAGGGCCGTCCCGAGTTGTTGGGCGCCTGGCCCTGAGACGATCAGGGAAGGGGCAGATGTGTTTGGTGCACAAGGGCCAGACAGGGGAGGTGGGGGTGGGCGGACTCCAGCTCGGCTGGTTTCCCCGAAGGCTGGGCTCACAGGTGAGTGGTTTGCTGTCTCTAGGAATCAGTTAACCCTGGGAGGGGTAGTCTGTCCCAGGTCAGCAAGGCCCCAGATGCCAAGGCATCAAGAACACAGAATATAAGAAACTGGAAGGAATGCAGCCTCGTTGAAACCCCTTGGGGAATGTCGTTTATTTTATCCCCTCAGGCAATCCCTGTGGCTTGGCTCAGAGGACAAGTTCCATCTCCCTGTGCGTGGGACGGTCCCAAGGCCTTTGCGAAGCTGCCCTGGTGGCTCCGATTTTTGTCCTGTGCACAAACAGCTGGGGGGTGGGGACAAGGACTGTGGGGGCTCCACACACAGAGCCAGGCAAGCCCATTCAGCTGCTCTCTCCTCTAGGGACTACCCCCCACTTCCCAGCTCACACGGGCTCCTTCTCCTGATCCTTTGGCCTGAAGGAAGGGGTTTCCTTTTAAAGTCCTAACTCTGAGGCACCACACAGATGTGGCTCTGTAACTGGTGCTACCTAAAGGGAAACGTGACAAGAAGGGAGAGGGAGAGAGACAAGGGATGGGGGGAGAGAGAGAGAGACAAGGAGGGAGAGGGAGAGGGAGGGAGAGAAACAAGGAGGGAGAGAGAGAGAGACAAGCAGGGAGAGGGAGGGAGAGAGGGACAAGCAGGGAGAGGGAGAAGGAGGAAGACAGTGAGAGGAAACTGGGGAGGGAGAATGGGGAGAGAAAGGGGAGAGAAGAGAAAAGGAGGAGGGAAAAGAAGTGGGGAGGGGAAAAGAGGGACAGACGAGGTGGGAGAAGAGGGGTGAGAGGGAGGAGACAGGAAGAGGGGTGAGAGGGAGGAGACAGGAAGAGGGGTGAGAGGGAGGAGACAGGAAGAGGGAGCCGAGGAGGGAGGAAGAGAGGCGGGAGAGACAGGGACTGAGAGAACACACGGGATTTCTTCCCCCCACGCTTTGGAGCACAGGAGTCCTTTTTCTTCTGGCTGGAGACACCGGATTTCCCCTGGGATTTAGCTGCTCGTGCCACCACAGCTGGCGCTCCACTGGGGAGAGCCAAAAAACAAAAAAACTAACCCCCCCAAAGGAAGCACTTCCTTTTATATGGACTGAATCGTGTCCCCCTTGAAACTCACAAAATGAAGCCCCAGCCCCAGTATCTGAGAGTGTGACTGTATTTGGAGACAGCAGCTTTAAAGACGTGATTGAGGTAACATGAGGTCGTCAGGGGCTGCGTGCAATCCGGCCGGTGACCTGATGGGAAGGGGAGACTGGAACACAACACACAAGAAGAGGAGACTAGAACTCAACACACAAGAAGAGGAGATTGGAACACGACACACAAGAAGAGGAGACTAGAACTCAACACACAAGAAGAGGAGATTGGAACACGACACACAAGAAGAGGAGACTGGAACACGACACACAAGAAGAGGAGACTGGAACACGACACACAAGAAGAGGAGATTGGAACACGACACACAAGAAGAGGAGACTGGAACACGACACACACACTGCAGGAGGCACAGAGCGAAGATGCCATCTGCAAGCCAGGGCCAGACGCCTCGGAAGCAGCATCTGCACACCTGAATCTTGGACTCCAGCCTTCGTCACTGTGAGAGAGTAAATTTCCGTTGCCAGCCAGTCTGCGGCCACCTGCAATGACTCTGGGTGACGAATATACCCCTCTGTGGGTTGCTTCCCGAGTTTCGATTCTCTTCCCAGTCTACCTGCTCTTGTGGATGCCTGGAGCTCTCGAGCAGTTGCTTTCTGATTTTGCCCAGAGCTTTCAGTTGCGATCAATGAGAAAGAAGCTGCAGGAACTTATTTCATCTTGACCATCCGTACATATTAAACTGATGTGTTTGTTACATTGTACCATCTCTTGATGGTCATCAAGTAAAAGAGCATCTGATGTAACAGGAAAATAGAGCAGG